TTTCAAATTCTGCAGTGCAATTCTTCAATTAATCATATAATGATTTGAGGTAGAAATTATGGAGCTTATATGTTTTTTGTTCCACTATTAATTGTTCATTTCATTAACCAGCACAAACTTGCTACAATTGCATTTAATCAAGACAAAAGGGCTATTAGTAAAATAAACAAGAAACTTTTTCTTCCAGTTCTAATTCTATAAAAATCTTAAAATGNAATTAAAGAAATCCGTAAAGAAAACTTAGAAAACCCTCTTGCTTCCCCTATTTCAAATCTAAACCCGTGAACGCACACAAGGCCATGTCAAATACGAGCAAACATGCAAGAAAATAAGGGGGTAAAAAAAAAGAGCTACATTATCACTACCTTTCTCTGCGAACCATTCCGACCTTCTTCCTCGTCCCAACCATCGCATTTCCTCATATTTACAGCAGGAAACTCATAACTACTCCGTGTAGTACCACAACTGCCATCAAAGATTCTCTTATCTCCATGAGAATCACCATTCTCCAAGGGCAATTTCATCATACCATTGCCCTCATCTTCACCTCCGTCGGCACACTCGTAAAACGCACCGTTTTTGGTGGCTATTACAGCTCCACTGAACACATCACCTTCCCTGCCATCTCCTCGGGTGGCATTGTCGGGAATTTTGACATCATCCGGCGGCACTTCCATCAATCGATTCAGAGCACTCATGGCCGAGCTTGCCTGCATCTCCACGTCAGCATAGAGGTCGCTGAAATCATCGTCGTCGTAGTATTCTTCCATAACATGAGATGAAGAACTTTGAGGGAAATGTGAACAGGGGCGATAAACCCTAACTACCGAAAGGCGTCAAAGTCCTTAAACCCTACAAATGGTTTTAGTTTTTACCCTTTAGCTGACGCATTTTCTTTGAGTTTCTTGATCTTTTCAGTGGAAAAATTTGTAAGCGAAAAATACTGAAAAGATAGATTCTTATTTACTGATAAACTAGTACATAATCATATGTTTAAAATTTTTAGAGTATATTTATTTGAAATTTTGAATGATATTTTTAATTTTTTTATATTTTTTTCTTTTGAAATCTCATTAAATCTTGAAAAGGGATAAGAAATTTCAATCACAACTAAGTTTAATATCTCATAGATTTTGTAAGACTTTTAAAATACATCAAGATCTTAAAATATCAAATGAATAGCTCCATATTTTTAAAAGTCTTAAAATATCCAAATTAAATACTCCAGATTTTTAAAATCCGAACAACTTTGTAAGTATCCGAATGGATATATCCCTTAAGTTAAACTAGTACGTACCCCGTGCGTGCGATGCACGGGAGAGAGATATTAAATGAATTATTTTCAAAGGCTCTGTCCGTTTAATCTGAGAATAGTTATTATCCATTTTTCACCTATTTTAATCACCGTTAAGTCTCGTTTAAATTTAAAAAGAGTTATCATCTATTTTCCACCTCTTTTAATCACCGTTAAGTCTAAAAATATAGGGTTGTATTCTATTTTTCACATCTTTTAATCAGCGTTGTTTTATTAGTCATAACATTAAACGTGAGCATGTTAGGGCTAACTTGTAAAATAATTAATATATTATCTCACTAACACATTTATACTAATATAAATTTAATTTTATTATATATATTTATTCCTTGATATAAGAGAAAATAACAATTTTACTTATTATTATTCACTATATAATAGTTAATTATTAAACTCTGTTGCCATATAATGTCATTACTATTTATAAAGTTATACAAGTTACACGCCTTCTTGTTCTTTTTATTTTATGTAATGAAATATATTAAATGCACGTTGGTACTATTTATATAAGTAATCAATTTAAAATATGTAAATAAATTAAAAATTAAATAGTATATAAATAATGTACAAAATATACACATATATTTTTTTAGAATTTAATTTTGTATACTAATTAAACAACTTTGATTTAAGAAAAGCCATGAACTCAATCTCTTCTACTATCAATATTTTTCTAATTTGCATTGTAATGATTATTCTTACTATATATATAGATTAGAATTTTTGCGACACCAGCCAAACTAAATATCACAACAACCAAGTAACAATTATGAAAAAACCCATAACAAACAACTATCAATTAAATTTGGTAATAGAAATATTACATATGTATATATAAAAATACGAGGATTCTATATTTCTACTAACTGATGTATACATCACGTGTATATTTTGTTAAGGTATATTGAAATGTTCAATTTCATAGCATGATAACGATCAGTCTTAAAAAATCGAAAATCTTATTGAAATGCCATATTTTTCTGTTAAAAAAAAAAGTTCCCATAAAAATAATTATATCATAAAAAATTCATTGTGTAATTGAACAAATTTCTATAATGAAGCCTGATTTTCTGTACAAAAATAAAGCAACAACTTCCACATTTTAAGGAAATCAATTAATGTTGGTCCGTTTTTGCTAAAAAAATAATAAATAAATAAATTATAATTAATGGAAAGTAATTAATTATGAGAGAATTTGACCATATCTATTTTTAAAAATCGTAACAGAAAAACAAATATTAAATAAAACTGTATAATACGGAAATAGTAATGACAATAAATGTCGTTGACTTTTTTAACTACTAAATTTGGTAAATAGGACTCCCTTTTAATATAAGTATAGATAGATATATCATCTTAAAAAGTATTTAGGAANGATTACAAGTAGGATATCGTATTTTTGTTTAATATAAAATTATATATGTATAAATTAATTTATCAATTACAATTAAAATGTTAAATTATTAGAGCATCTCAAATGGCACAATGTCTATTCTGACATGTATGTTGTGGAGAAAAGAAATAAAAATAGTTTGTCTCCAATGGTGGATGTCAATTGTAGAACAGTGTTTTAAATACCGTACCGGTTATCATACCGGACGAGCCAACGGTACGCGGTTCAACCCGTTCGACCGGTATTACCGTCTATTTTACCGGTTTCAATAAATATTAAATTAATTTATTATTATAATATAAATGATGTATAAATCTAACTTTAACTAATAGTAAAATTAATTAACATCTACTAACAATGTAATCATATTAAAATTAAGTGTAGAACTTTGAATTTATATAAATAAATTAATGAAAATATATTATTTTTTTTTTTAAAAAAAATGATTAAGCTGATATTTTGACCGGTATTTTCCGGTATGAAACCAGTATTTTGGCCAGAACGGTATTTGAAGTGTAGCCGTACCGGTCGGACCACCGGTATCCGGTATTACCGGTAATACCGACCGGTACGGTACGGTAATTAAAACATGGTTGCAGAATAAATTGACATGTGTAAGATAATAATTAGTTGGTGGAGAAAGATATATAAAATAAATAATATAATATAGATAGAAGATGTCTAGAAGTCTTTCTACATCAAGAAAGACTTCTAGAAATTTTACATGCTACATTGGATTTTTGGGGTCATGTGGCTATGTAATGAAACAATGCACAAACCATTGGAGATGGATATATGACGAGAACTTTATAAATAAATGAATATAAGATTGAAGCGATTCATATTAAAATATGTAAAATAATAATAATAATAATAATAACTGAAAGTAATTATTTTAGTTCTTAAATTGAATAAGTTATTAAATATAAAAATATGACTACCGAAGTTAAGAAATAAAAATAACATAAATCTAATGCCTCTTGCTTTAAAGATTTTATTACATAAACCACTTTTTAGAGATTTTATTACATAAACCACTTTCCCATCTTAATGAATGCATGGCAATTTAATAAATTTATATTACCAAAATACACTTGTTTCTTAAACCACATCCATCTTTCGATTTTTTTATAGAACTGGATCTTTCGATTTTTTATAGAACTGGCCTCCTAGGAAGACATTATTGTTTAGAAACCATCAATAACTAAAAAATTTAAATGCTAACACTACTTTTAAACTTAAATTGACAAGTATGCATTTTGTAATTTTTCCTCAATTTAAAACCATGAAATTCAAATTAGTATTTAAACAAGTATACTGTTCATCATACTTGTCTTTGATAAAATATTCACAACAGTCACTCCCAATTGATAAGGGTGCAATTGAATATAGATTTGATTGATTTTTTATTGGTTTTTTTGTTAATTATAGTTAATTTTAAAAAAGTTAGCATGATTATTTGTTAGTAGGAATTTAACTTTATATTAAAATAATATTTAAAATAAAATAATTAAAATTGATTTGATGTAAAAGTAAGAGATATGATATGAGTGATAATTAGTTAGCGAAATGATATAGGTACATAATGATGTACATAAAGTGTACATACCACTCATATTAAGTGGGTCCTACCAAAAATAAAAAAATCAAGTAGATTCCATTACATGTGAGTGTTATGTACACCATTATGTACATTTATTATGTACTTGTAGCATTTTTTTAGTTAAAACTATATGAGTGAACAAATAATGAAATCAAATTGATGTAATGTGTAAAGATAATTGATTAGTATTATTCAATTATATGAATAAAACTGAAAATAATAAAATTAAGTTAAAGTTAAATTAAATTTAAATTTTGATTAATTTTTCACTTAGATGATTACATCCAATCACTCTAAATCTGTGAAGCTAGACACGCCAGTTTCAAGCTACTTTCATAAAACCACCAATTATCTTTAACAGTTTTATTATAGAGCCATCGGATGGCTTGACATATAGTCATCTATAATTTGGTGTATTAACACGTGTCCTGCAATAAATACATATTTGACGTGTATCAATATATAAAATTATGAATGACTCCATATAATTTTTCTTATCTTTAAGTTAAAACTTCAAAACATATCATTTTTCTACTCAAAGTTGAATCTCTCACAAAGGCTTTTTTACCATTGGATCTCACACAAACTTATATAGTCTAGCAGTTAAAAAATGGTGAAAAATTCAATCATGCTCATTACGAATGATTCGATCTCTTCCTATTCCAAGAGGGTAAAAAATCTAATTTTATTTGACACATTGCAATAAAAATATCCAAGATATTTTACCGTTAATTCCTCAAAGGTACACAATTTACACGGGTTTACCGAGTCTCGTTTACTGCAACTCGGCACTAAGAAAACAATTGGCTCATATTATATAAACGTCAAATAAAAAAACGATACGAACCAAATGACTCTAAACTGATCCAAATACCTCACAAAATAATTTCTCCAACTCCGTTCTACAGAAAAATAATCCACAAGCAGGAGTTATAATATTAGACTCAGTGCTCTTTCTAAAAGGGAACTTATAATAAATAAAGATAGCTACAAATCAACCCTTGAGTTTCAACTCTAGCTAAAACCCAAATTAGCAATTGTGAATAAGTCTCAGGTATTTGTAAATGGTTTAAAAAAAGTATCCCAGTTGTTGAGTGGGAAATTCATTCTGTAGAAACAAATAAAAGGATTTATATGTAATTCGACTAAACTCAAGGCTTATAATGTAATTAACCCAGATTTCCAGGAGTTAGGATGACTGCTCCAGAGGCAAACCAAAAATCAGACTTAAAGAATTGCACATAAATACATCAGACCTTGAACCAAATTTTGGATGTGTCCTTAAATCCAACTGCAACACAGCCACCAAAATAGCAGCATTAGTTTCTACAGCTGCAAGCAAGTGCCGCAAACAGTTCATCTTACACAATATTGACTGTCAACTCACAGCAACAGCCACGATCTCATATGCTGTAACACAACATAACTGAAATCAGCTTACATATTGACGATTGCAAAGGTCAAACTTTTAAAGGCACCCAAGCAACATCAAATTTAACTTCAAACATCTCTTGAGATCAGAGAAAAAAAACTGTGAACATTCAATTCTGGAAATTCAATGTGATTAGTGATTTTTTTTTTTTTTTTAACTAATTCCTTACCGGTTATGGTATCGTCACTCAGAGTTTGTAAATCAAGGAATTCGAACAACCAACAGCATAATAAAAGCAAGCCACAGCAGCAGCAGCCACCGCATCATCTAATAACAGCATCAAAAAACTGCTACATCATCTAAAAACAGCACCAAACAGCATAGCTGCTTCACGAACTAAAAATCAGCATCAAACAGCTAACTGCATTCCTCATCTAAAAAAACAGCATCAAATAGCTGCTGCATCGTCTCACCAACCGGCAACTACTCCTAAAGCACACAAACCATAGAACGCAAGGCAAGAACTTATGAGAGATACATAAATTGACTTACATCCAAATTTAAAACACAACATGAACACAAAAGCCATGACGACGAACTAGTCTGAAAACCTCAATCCACAAATTTAAAGTAAGTATCCATCAAAACATAGAATGATAACTGGTACAGTACAACGGAAAGGTAAAGAACTTTCGAAATATTCCCAGGGGGAAAATAAGTCTTCGAAATAACCATACAGACGATGATATGTAGATTAAGTTTACTCAAAACGCAGATGCTGCCATATTCCGGTACCATGTCTTCAGATTCATTCCACAACACTCCACTCCTAATCCTGTAGACAATTAATGGGAAAAGAAGGAAAACAAATGTCACAGTGAAACAAGTCCAAAAATTGAGGTGAATATATATATGACAGGGAATGAAATAATTACATCAGCCTCAGAACGTGGAGATTGGCTTCGAGAATTATAACGAGCTCGAGGGGAGACACTTCTAGGGCTGATGGAACGTTCTTTCGGGTTACGGGCCCCCGGGCTTCCACCTCCAGAGGGCAGTGATGATGATCTGACTGGAGAAGGACTCCTCCGTGGGCTAGGGCTTCGCCTCGGAGGAGGAGAACCACTGCCCATCAAGATATAAATATAAAAAGATGATGACGATGATGATAAAGCAATGTAACAAAATAAGGGCATGTTTGTTTACTAAATAATTTACTCACATTTATCTCATACTCAAAATCTAACTCATTTTAACTCAACCCACTGTCTTTAATATTATTTATATAATTAAATAATACAAACGAATCATTCTTACACATTACATCAACTTTAATTTAGTATGCATCCACTCATATCAAATCAATATTAAACATTTCAATTTAAATATTATTTTAATACATTGTTAAAATTCCACTAATAACTAATCATACCACCTTTTTCAAAATTAACTATAGTTAACCAAAATAACTCATTTTAATGGATTATTTGATAAACAAGCATGTCCTAAACATTTGCCATGACACTAAATAAGTACCTCTCATAAGACCGACTCCTTCTGCGCCTATCGCCATTGTATTTGTCTTTTCCACGTTCTCGGCGACAATCAGGGCTTAAGCTGCGGCTTAGGCTTCGGGACCTGCTCCTGCTTCGGTAACGGCTATGCTTGTCCCTGCCACGATGACGATCTCTCTCATATCTGTCCCTACTTCTACTTCGACTTCTCCTCCGGTAATCTCTGTCTCTATAATCACTCCTAGACACAACTTCCATTTTAGTTTTTGCACAAAATGATTCGAAAATCATAGAAGACAAGTACAAAGTAGATATGCTAAAACTGAGCTCCAAGCAACAGAACAGGAGAACAGAACCAGCAAAAACAACATAAACATCTGAACAATGAGATCATTTCAGAGTAAAGAAGATGGCAACTGTTTGTTCTCATAGATAGCATCATAGAACACAAATATATTAGGAAAAACTTACGGAATCCTCTTTAAACTAAAGAGTACAAATTTAAATGTTCACTCGTACAGTCCTACCTTGGCCTAGGACTGCGGCTTCGTGACCTTCCTTTGGACCTGTAAACAGGCTCCTCAATTCTCCCTTTGTGGCTGGTTGCAGAAAACCACAGATGATCATTAACAGAATTTTCAAACATCATAGGATTTCCGAAACAAACTAATAAGACTAATAATAATAATCACCACATCATATCCACTAACACCAGTATGACAGTACTACTTCATGCTGCATTTAATCATGAAGCAAATAACCACACTTATCGACAACGAAATTCCAATTAATGAGAAGGTTAGTTATATATATTTCAACCTTTGCCACGGAACTACCAATAGTAAACTATCAGGCAGCATGTTAAACCAACTTACATTCGCTCAGCATTGGGACCATATTTAGCAAACTGAACCATTATTTCTCTACCATCAACCACTTTCCCTGCATGAGATATAAAATAAAATCACATAACACAAAGAAGTTTGACTAATAACCAAAAGCAATCACTATTTTCATTCCTTCTTACCGTCAAGCTTCTCAACAGCCTTTTGAGCCTCATCTTGATACTTATATCGCACAAATGCAAATCCCCTCGAATCTCCAGTCCTATATGAAAAGAATCACGCAGAGGACCTTAGCTACTAGCTATGTACAAGCACAGGCAATCAATGAGTGAGCCTGCACTTGCGAAAAAAGTAGGAGAAAAGTGGAAATTCCAGATAAAGTGTTTTCCATAAAAAGTAAAACCCTACAGAACCCAATTCAAGTTTCAACACTCTAGCCAATTTTCACACTAGTGGAAATTCAAATACAAGCAACCCGTATACCTTCGGTCTCTTGGGATAAACACATCCACCACTTTCCCGTACTTATCGAACAGTGGGAACAAGTCGTCGGCAGTCGTACCTGAAAAAAAAATAAAAATAAATATATAAATACTCATGACAAACCCACCTACGAAATAGAAGCAAAAAAAAGGAAGAGCGAAGTGCATACGGAAAGTAATGTTGAGGACGAGGAGAGAGAAGGTGTCTTTGATGTCCGGCGGCCCAGATCTACCGAAGTGCGACATCCTGCTCCGGCGTGCGAAGAGAGAGAAACTAGGGTTTGAGGCTTTTGAGATTTGGGGGGATTTCAGTGGTTCGGTTTGGACTCGGGCTTTAATGAGAACTAGTACAGATCCCGTGCGATGCACGGGGTGCACAAAATTAAGGCTATTTATCAAGTTTTATAATTATATAAATGAATAAAGAAAAATGTACAGGATATATATAGTACGTGACCTGTAATAGGCCAAAATGTGAACACGGGTGATGCACGGGGTCCACAATTTTAAGGTCATTTATTAGTACAGAGTCCGTGCGATGCACGGGGTGCACAATTTTTTAGTATGTGTAATACAAATACATACCGTATGCACGGGACAGAAGCACTAAATGAGTTATTTCCACATAGCTTGTCGGTTAAGTAGCTCCTGAACACGGGTGCACAATTTGTAGTACGTAATATAAAATCAGAACAGATTTCCATACAATTAGATAATAAATTAGATAATAAATAAAGCCTTTTTATTTTAATAAAGATTTTACGTACTTTTTTTTACTTATCGGATGTTATGAGATTTTTTTTGTTAAACCGATTTTATCGGATATGATACAAATACAATTACAGGATTACACAAAATCAGAACAGATTTCTATACAATTAGATAATAAGAATGAATTAGATAAGAAAAAAAAGAAATTAGATAAAGAATTTTGAATCTACCTTTTTTTAGTATAGATAGACTGTACGTACAAATTTTGACTTCACCGATTTTATAAGATTTGTTTTGACAAAATCAAAGATGAATACTGAAGACTGTTTCTATTAACATTTATAATGTATATTTAATGTTTTTTTTTTGGCAAAATATTCTTTTTAAGTGTGATATATAAATATTAAAAATACTTAAAATATTTCAAAATACTTAAAAATATTTTACAACATCTATAAAAACATCTAAAATATTCTATATTATTCACAAATAATGTTTGAAGCTACCTAAATTTTTCTAAACTACCCCGTAAGGAAAATATGTCTAAAAATTCTTCATTTAACCTTCATATATGTATATATATATATAGAGAGAGAGAGCAAATGTGTAAAAAAAAGTTATACAAATAATATTTAAAAGTATCTAAAATATTAGTAATGAGACAGGTGAAATTTACATTTTTAAAAAATCTATATAGATAATGGATTTATAGTAGTAATTAGACTTTTATTTATTTACGTTTAAAGTTGTTACGATAGATGAGGGATGTGATTTTTTTTACTGGAGATGGAATTTTATAAGCTGGGTTATGAAAATTTCTTAAACTCGTCCATGCGATGAGTTTTTTAAGTTGGGTATATAGATTTAAAATTGTAAAAAAAAAAACTTTCATAAATCATTTGATTTGGTATTTTCGGAGAGCTTTATTAATTTAAAAGTGTAAAATAAATAAATAAAAAATGTACAACTGAAAAAGTTACAACCAATTGTATGGAGAATTAAACTAAATCCAATTTTGTAGGATGCATTAAATATTGATTAAATTTTATATGTAAAATAAATAAAAAAAAATAACTGGAATAGTTGTAAGTGTTGCAATATTTTATATTTAAAAAAAATAAAAAATCTTCATTTACTTATTGCATACCTACATTTTAGGAACTACATAGATATTCCTAAATTAATATTGCATACCCAATATTTTAGGAACTAATTAAATGCTAATTTGATTTGCATACCAAAAATATTAGATGCATTAATTAAATGATTGATAAAAATAGCAAATCATTAATTAGGGTTGACTATTCTACATACTACATTTAGTAAATAGTACCCCCTTTAATATAAGTATAGATAAATAAAGGGCCCATTTTTTTTAATGCCGAAAACACCCTTGCCTCAAATATCTAACCTTACCCATTTATGAACACTCTTCGTTCGTCATCCCAATTCCATGTCCCGTCGCCATGACTCTCAGCTTCTTCTGCAGTGCTTCTCTCTCCACTCAAACTCCAAGTTTGTGTCTTTCTCTATCTTTCCATCTCTGTATGTGTAAAAGCTCTTGCAGTATCCAATCTTTCTTTATTTATTTATTTTTTTTCTTTGTTGGGGTATGATTTTCAGGCCTTGTAAAGGTTCACAACCTAATCAACAAAAATGGGATTCCATCGGTCATCACCTCTCCACAGGAATCCCTCCGAAAAGGAAATTGGGTGAAGCTCATTTGTGGTGCTAGCTTTGAGGTACGTCCCCCACAGCCCCTTTTATGCATATGATTTGATTTAGACTCAAAGATAAAACAGTTTACTTACCTAGTTAATCAAAGGTCGACTTCATCTTTGGTCTGATGTAGGATGTGATTGATGTTAGGAATCTTTCTCTGGTTTACGCTCTAGCTGGAGGTAAATTATATGATTCATGAGGCAGATTGTTTAAGAATTACTTTGAATTCATGTGGGCAGAACTTATTTAGGTGATTTTTATGTGATTTTGGAAACTATCCTTCTGTTTCCATGTGGTGTTTGTTGTCCATAGTTGACTGCATTGACTGTGCTGCGGATGAATCAGTTGTCAATGCTGTAAATGAAGGGATTAAGGCAGCCATGGATATAATTCCCAAGGCCTTGGGTTATGATCAGTGTCAATGATAACGAAGACCTTCATTTTCGTAAAGCTGGTACTTTTTGCCCTCTGTTATCCGCTTTATGTGTGTTCTACATAAGTTTCTTTTACCTCGGATGTTAGTAAACATTCAAGTGTCACATCTACAAACATTTAGATTCTCAACAAGTACAGTTGATTGCTTCATATGTCGTGTTTAGTGATAACCCAGTGAATGAGTAACTCAGAGGAAATACGAAATCAAAGCTTCAGGCTCGTCAAGAATTATAGTTTGAGCTTTTTGATTTCTAAAATGCTTTTACTAGGGGATATCAATAACTCGATATGTTACCTTTTGGTCAGAATTTGATCCCAATGATTGCCCATTGGATTGCTCAAGGCCATGTGAGAATGTTTGCCCTGCCGATGCAATCTCATTTTCAGGCATAGTGGGTGTATCCAAGGTGATATTACATCTCTCTCTCTCTCTCTCTCTCTCTCTCTCTCTCTTTAAAATTATTGTTTCTATCTATCAACAACACACTATGTCCAGAACAAGGGTGGTGTCTTGCCTGAACGATGCTATGGCTGTGGTCGCTGCTTACCAGTTTGCCCATACGATAAAATAAGTCAGTGACACTTCTGCTTGGCGACTAAATAGTTCAATCTCATATGCCAATTTGTCCATGCTTTCTTTGCGTTACATATTATTGTGATTATTTTCTCCATTTATTTACCATCCCTATATTTTTTGTTTATCAATGCAGAAGCAATTTCATATGTACGAGATGTTGCGGCTACAGGTGAACTTCTTAACCGGGATGATATTGATGCAATAGAAATTCACACCAGCTTAAGGTAATTTCATAAATATTACCTATTTTGGTGGTCTAAAAGGTGATATAATAAAATGTAACTGACATTTGATTCAACAAACAACCTAGCTTGTGTCTTCATACTGTAATACCTGGCATGCACGAAAAGAATTGCTAGAACTTCTTGTGATTTTCCCTTTGCAATATATAATTACATGTGGTGATGTATTATTCTTCTGTTTCTACTCTTTGAAGAAAGACTTCTTAAAACCTGCATATGAACATATTAGAGAATTACACTTATCGTTTTCTGGGCACTATAGAGCACCAATGGTATGGATAAGTCAATCATAATTCTGTATCTATTCAATTATATTTCTGTATCTAAATTTTAACTGTTATATTGAATACTAATCCACACAGTCAGTTAATGTAGTGAAGATCCATAGGAAAGCTGAATCTTTTCAAGAACTTTGGCATGGTTTAGGGGATTCACTTCATAAGCTGAGGCTTGTAGCAGTAAGTAATGCACAAACTGCAATCTAATTGTGTCATTTCTATTGGACAGCTTAACTGCTGTCTTTTTTTAATTAACTTTTCTTTCTTATTATTTTCTTTTCTCCTTTTTGTGTATATGTTTGTGTGTATGTGCAGGTTAGCTTGCCTGATATAGGGGAGCTTACTGTACCTGCCATGAGTTCTATGTACGAAACAATGAAAGGTAACCTGCATTGCCTCAATCTATGGCAGGTATAGTTGTATGCAAGCTCTATAAATCTTGTAAACATTTCATCAGAAGTTCTATTTTTATTTATTATAACGAGCTTCATGAAATTTCCCTTGTGCTACTGAAGTTGGATGGTCGCCCCATGAGTGGAGATATTGGACAAACCTAAAGGTGTTCGTCCAAATTTTCGATATTTCATGCGCTATTTCATTGTTCTTGTAAAATATATCTATATTTTCTTTCATGTTACAATGTGGTTCATCTGTTCATGTTACAGGTTTTCTTCAGTTAGCGGGTGGTACAAATGCTCACACAGTAGACGGGTTAAAAAGGGCGATGTTATTTCAAACCATCAATATATCTGGTACTTTATTATTTCAGCACATGCGTATTTCTTATTATGTCGTAACTATTATGCATCCACAAATACTAATTTCTACAAATGCAGAGAAATCAAACTCGAGCTAATTTGAGTCATTGCATGCTTCGATCAGTGGGATAGCATTCGGTAGCTATGCTCGAAAGGCGGGTTTGCTCAATAAGTTATTTTCTTTTCTCTTACAGAGGTCACTTTAGCCTTTATCACTAAAACTTTGCAACACGATTTTCCATCCTCCAGATAGTTGGTAGGGTTCTGAGATCTCTGCAATCCGAGCATGGTTACGGCTGTCTTGAAGACTACCCAGACCATCTTCTTGAGGCACTCGAACTTTAGTTGGGACTGTTAAATGCTATAATCATGGTTAGTTTTGCTAAAGCTGAATATGAACCCGGTTTATAGAATTTACCAGTGGCCTTGAATTCGGAAACAAGTGAGATAATGCAACTCTGATAATCTATTAGAATAAAAAAATATGATAAGATATCAAAGATGTCCGTCCCTTTTTTTTTTTGTTTGGCATTTGATAATGTATCTCTTAATAAAATATAACATTTTTTTTAATTTGAATTGTTAGTATAGATATATCACAAATAGTGGAAAATAAAATATCACTTTATATTCCTATGTATGTAAAAAAAAATAGTGTTTTGAACCGATTTTATTGTGTATAAATCTTTTATTTAAAATTAAATACATTTTATTGACCTGATTTACAATTATATATAAGTTTTTATATGCAAATGAAAATTAAAAAATTAAATACAACTCTTTAGGAGTGAAAAGAATATGTTTATATAATATCAACAATGAAAACATAAGTTTAATAAATAATGTGTTATATGAAATTTTAAGAAGTTTATACATGCTACGTGAAACAACATTGACAATTATTGAGATATATTAAAAATTAATTTTTTAAATAACTTGAAAAAGGGAAAAAAAAACATATTTAAAATCGCTGGAAATAAGAAAACATCATGTAAATTTTGTATTTACTATAATTGAAAAGTTAAAATGAATTAATTTAAATTTTTACTATTATATTTAGTAAATAAATAACCTTGTTATATAGTAATAGAAAGTTACGCTAAAATTTATTGAATGCCTTCCTAGCACAATATCATAACAATTCCAATTATATAAAATCATAGTCTATAGTCAATTATTTACAGCCACTTTCGTATTCTAAGTCAGAAAAAAATAGAAAATTACTGACTGATCATGGGCATTGGCAAAGTATTCCATTAAGCACTTAGCTCGACAATTTTGAAGTAGACATCGCCATACCCATATTTATCTACAACGCGTAAAACTGTTGGAAATATAAAGTAGTATTTGATTTTTATTTCTTATTTTCTTATATAAGCGTCAAATTCAGTGGTCAATTTTGGATAGAGAGCTACATGGTCATGATTTTAAAAGGACACCAAAATTGAATATTTGGTTTGTACCGAAAAAAAAAATAAAAAATTGAATATTTGGTATATACATCTACTACCAACATATTAAAACTACTATTTCTTCCTCGTGGATGAAAAATAATACTACAATAAACAGGTTGTCCCCGTCGGATGATTTTTTAATATAAACAATTAATTATAACAATTGCTAAGAAGGGAAGTTATGAGAACCAAAATTTAATTAAATGGCTGTTAATTAATTTTCAAAACTTTGATTTTCAGGGAAAAAAAGAAAAAAAGAAAAAAGCAGTGAGTCAAATTCCTATTCATCTTATATATTTAATGTGACAATTTTTTTTTTTAATGTGACAATTTAATAACGCTAATAGTTCTTTTTTTGTTTATTCACGCTTCTAAATTTGACCTTTACGGAAAAGATTACCATAGGAAGGTTTTAATTATTGTTGTACTATACATTATATATTCTTGTCTCTTGTCATAAATACCTACACATTGTTTTATTGACAACTAGTATTCGATCATGTGTATTTGCACAGATGTAAATAAAATATATGAGTTATTTGAATGTCTATAATATTAAAATTATAATTTAGATAATATTATTATATTTTAAACATAGAGTATTATAAGTTAAATTTATATATAATATTAAAATTATAAGTTAGATAATGATATTATATTTTAAAATTTGATCATTGGTTAAAATAAATAGTACATAACGATTTGATTGCATATGAATCACTATATTGATTGTATAAATGTAATAAATAATGTAATTTGTAATTAGGGATCATGACCAATTCATTAGCTTAAAAATATTAAATTTATTATACAAAATTGTTTATGCGATTTTAAGTGATTTTTCTATGACATTAAAATAAATTAATTTATTTTAAAATAATCGCTTAATCAGATAAAAAAATATAATATTGATTTTAGAATAAATAACTTGAACAAAAGGTTTTCACAACATAATTATTATGTTTATGTAACTTTTATATATTATTTAGTGTAAAATATAATTATTAATTTTAATAATAACTATTATATGATACAGAAAAAAATATAATTATTACTCAATTAACAACTCGTAATATATTAAATTATCCATTGAAAACTCTATCAATTCATAACCCGTAATATATTCAATTATCCATTGAAAACTCTACAGGTAAAACTGTTTATATTTATTATTTATATTGAATTTGTCTCATTTATAAATTGTATAACTTATGTAGAGTACACCAATTTTCTCATAGTTTTTATATATTTATTTTTCTAGTCATATTTTTTATGTCTTCTATTTATATTCTTGAGAATTATGTTAAAAAAAATAAATTTAATATAAAAAATAACTGAAAATTTAGGCCAAAATTCAATGTTACATCATACATTATTTAATAATACATTACTATTACCAAACATCCAATTTGCCTTTCCGTAAACATTAAATTATTACAAAGTTTTCTGGGTCTTCTTTATTGGCGACATCGCTGCCACAAGGTAAATGCTAGTCATGACTTGGTACTTAACTATGTAAATTAATAGCNAGGCAAAATTTATTAATATGTTTTTATCATATATATATTCATCATTTTCCTAATGCCTTTCCATTGTTTTTCTACTTTTTTGTTTCACGAACCTTTTTTGCCACAAAATCTTCTACGTCCTATGGCTCCTGTGGAATTGTATATATATAAATAAAAATAAAAAATATTCATTATTCTCATTTCTTTATCCAGTCTCACTAATACATTTAAAAAATAGAAAGTAACTATTAATATATATTTTCTAAAAAAAGTTATTCACTCATTCACTTATTTATTATTTCTATTCGTGTCATTATGGTTTTATACTACACTTATATCACATTAATTTTAACTAGTACAATTCTCGTGTATTACACGGGTGTTGAATTGGAAAGTTTTTGTAAAATATTATTTTTTTTTTTAAAAAAACTAAAATAATTTAATTTTATATAAAACATTACTTTGAGTTTTAATAAAATTGTCAAATTATATTTTTTTAATCATAATAATTAAACACTCCTACATTAAATGAAAATGTCAACCCGTATTAAATTTGTTTACTTATATCATTTAAAAATATTGATATTATTTTGTATTACATAAGTACAAAAATATATATCTTAAACAAATAGAAATAATATGATAATATGTATATGCATAAGTGTAGAATATGTTTATTTAATATTAAGCAAAATAGATTAATTTGTTTACTTAATTAGATGACTAATACATCAAGTGTCGTATCAGTCGTGCTTCATAGTTTTTTAACTTTATATGTACTTTTAGAATTTAGATATATAATTATTTATTTTTATTAGATTAACAACAAATCAATTAGATTTGAAATAAATATCATTTTTAAAAGAATACATACCAATTTCTATTATTTTATAATATAATTTATAGTTTGATTTGATATAATTTAATTTAGTTTGATATATAAATTTTAATTTTATTTATAAGGATATATATTATTATTTTGTATTATATATATATATATATATGGATGTCAAATCAAAAATAATCAAAATCTGATTAATTTGATATATTATATATGTAAAACTGATAAGAAATACAAAAGTTATGAATTTATAAAGTAGTTTACGATAACTAATTGTAGAAGTAAAGAAGGAAAAAACCAATCATGAATTTAGTGTGATAAAAAATATTAATTTATATCCAAACCTATCTCCAAAGCATGATTTTTTGCCAAATAAGCTAGCTTATATGATAAAAGCGATTTGTAAAATTAGTTGATAAGTTAGGCGAAATAAAATTTTCAATGAGCTTATTTGGAAAGCTACCCAATAAAGCTTATGAGAAAACACACCCTAACTTTTGTTTCACATTTACTAAATAGCATTTGTCATAATCATCTTTGGTATGAACGGAGTTCAGTTTGTAATGCTCTGATTGACGATTTCTTCACTTTCGATCGAGTAACTAAGGTGAGAGCCCGTATGTCTGAAGCATGAGAGTTTACCACGTAGGCTCAGCGTATTCTGAAATTAGATATAGAGGGCATTATTACATTTAAGTTATATTTCTTCATATCACATAAATTTTAATTATTACATTTAAATTATATTTCTTCATATTCTCAAATTTATCTATATTTTTTAAAATATTTTTTTTAACTTTTCTATATCTATTTTTAATTGAGATATATATTTTTTTTAATAAATTTTTTTTATAAAGTGCAACCCAATAATTCAATTGAGCCCACATAAATGTCTCATCCTAAATCCATTTTCCAATCAAAGTCAAGGCCACCATTCGATCCACCTAACTTCCCCAACCACATCTTCCCTTTGCCTCTCTTCCAAGCCTTCAATCTCCCTACCGATACATACATATATGCATACAAACATATATACACACCATACACATGAACAAAATGAACCAAACACCAACTGCCAAGTGCCACGTGAATTCCCTTGTATGAATTCTTGATCTGCCAAATCAATAAAATAAAATATATAGTATAATTTTTATTTTTTCCCCCATTTACAGCCCACCTTCTCTTAACAGCCAACAGTCTACACTTAATTCTCGTATATATATATATATATATATATTCTCTTGTTGTCCTGCATCTCTTCTACAACACAATACTGGTTATTCTTCAGGTGGATTGTTAAATTGTCGGAAAGGTAGATGCATTTTGTTTAATTATTTACTTTTTTTTTGGTTCTGTTTCTTTTGTGATTAGGGCTTTGAATTTGGCCGAGCTTTGATTAATCACCTGTTTCATGTGTAAATTGGATGGAATTCTGATGATCAGATCCATTATTTCAGTGTCGATCCATTATTTTTTTAGCTTTTGTTGCTTGATTTATCAGATCCCTGTTGGATTTTATTTATATTATTGTTGATGTTTACGAGGAAGAATGTCCTCCTCGTCAGTCACACACACGCACCATATATATACTTGGGTTTAATATGGGGATGTCCCTGCTTTTGCTGGAACTTCAGTTAACCTATGATTTGGTGTTATTTTTACGACATTCTAGTATGTGCATTTTATGATTTTAAGCTTGTAACTTATAAGTATAGATCTGTTCGTGATGGGTGGGGTGGGTCATGTTTTTGAATAATTGAAGCAGTTGATGTTATTTTGTTTGTTTGTTTACATTACAAGAACCTGTGTTTGCGATCTGAGTGCTGATCTAAGTTGTGTGTACAAATTGCATTTTCATTCGAAAATTAAGCT